CCCGCCTTCCTGTGCCCTGTCTCCCGACTTACAGCTGTGCGTAGCCCGCCCAGCTTTGAGCGGAAGAGGCTCGCTCTCGCCCCGCATATCAAAAAGTGTGCACGTGTGCTTTCTGCCCAGACGCACACGTCCGAGCGCTACCGCGGCGACGGCCACGACAGAGCCCCCCCCCCCCCGGGGGTGCAGCTCCGAGGAGCGGCCCCCTCCTCCCCGCACCCGGCGGAAGGGCCCCTGTGGCAGGCTCGCGCCGCCAGGACCCCCCCCGGCGCGGGCGTCCGACACCGCGGGGGTCCCTCAGCTTTCGACGACTGTGACTTGGCGGCGCGCACAAAGGGGGTGGAGGTAGGGGGGAGGGCTTCTTAGGAGGAGGCTGCTTCCGAGAAGGCGCCGGGAATACGTCTACGCATAAGGCCCGCGCAAGCCATCCCCCCTCCCCCCACCCCCCTCTGCGCGTGGCTGAGTGAGGGGCACGAGTCTGGCGTTGGCAGAACTCGGTTCAGTGGGACCTGGTTTCGTGATATGTGCTGGGGCATGCACCCCCCGCCCCGTTCCACTAACCGGAACTGCCGTGACCCGGAAAAAAAACAGCTACGGCAGACTTGGTTTAGTGATTCTGGTCAATTTAGGGGCTCCGGGGCCCTACTATTGACGGGGCTCCCTTACCCAGGGTCCTGGCTATACCCGAACAAACATCGGCGGTGGACAAACCTCCCTTTAATAGACCTCCCCTTAGTGAAAACGGCCTGGGACCGAAACCGACTGACCCAGACCCGCAAAAATGACGGCTGTGACGCCTCCTCGCGAACCGAAAACGGTCAATTCCCCAATCGACGTGTCAGGGTAGGAGGTCTATCCACCTCCGAAAACAATGACAATGACACAAACATAACAACTCGGAGGTCCGCGCGGATTTCTCGGATCTGCGCTGGAGACCCCTGGCGGCGCCTCCGGCGCCGCTCCTGGCGCGCTCCGCGCGGGGGGGGTCCCCCGCCGCTCCGAGAGATCCGCGCGGACCTCCGAATTTTGATGTTTGTGTCATTGCTCTTGTTTCCCTACAGACTGGCGACTTGTTATGTTCGTGTCATTGCTTGTGTTTCCCTATAGACTGGGGCGACTTCTCGATCGCAAGACCGTTCCACATTGGCCGCTTCTGGAGCACTGACGGCGCTCAGCCTTGAGCGCCGGCAGCGGGGCCGCCGCGGCGTCGACAGGACCAGGACCTGCCGTGCCTCGGCGTCCCCAAATCAGTCAACACCGAATCCGGAAGCCTGGTCGGATCGGAACGAGCGTCGGATCGGGCCGCATCGGCACGGAGTCGAAACCGGACAGGATCGGCTGCGCCAGGATGCACAGCAGCGCCACGCGAGCATCGGGCCGCACCGCATCGTCGGCAGATTCGCAATCGAACCGTGCTCGTCCTGCACCTCCTCCTCCTGCTTCTCCTCCTCCTCTTCTTCCTCCTCGTCCTCCTCGACATCGTCCTCCTCCTCCTCCTCCTCCTCCTCCTCCTCCTCCCTTGACGCTGGCCAGACAGGAAGACAGCGCTTGCTGCGTTCTGTGAGAGAATTTGAATCGGATCGGAAGTCGATCGGAGTCGCATCTGCTCGGCCCGGCCAGCACCGATGTCGCATCGGATTCCCCCTATGAGCCAAGTGGGCCCTGGCGTCTTGCCTGCACTCCTCCTCCTCCTCCTCCTCCTCCTCCTCCTCCTCCTCCTCCTCCTCCTCGGCGCCGATGCTCCCCTCCCCCGCGCTCCCCCGCTGCGCCCCAGTCTAGGCGAGCGCGTCCCACGACTCGCGAAGTCGCCGCTCGCAAATGGCCTGGATCCGCCGGGGGGGATTCACGATACCCTACATCGAGGGCAGCGTGTTTTTTTCTCGGACCTTTGCGAGTACGTCAGGTTCGTGTCGTGACGACCCCGGCGTTGGTTTCTGACTCCGCGTGGATCGTTCAACCTTGAAGGATCGGCGACTGTGGATCGCTCGATCGTTCCATATAGGCCGATTCTGGGCCACTGGCGGCGTTCAACCTTGAACGCCCGCGGCGGGGTCGCCGCCGGTCGACACGACGCAAACCTACCGTAGGCACTTTGCGAGTCGTGGCACACGCTCGGTGAAAGTCTCCGCGCGGATATCTCGGGTCGGGCGAAAGGGGGGGATAGCAAAGGGGGGGGTTGAGAATCAGCTCACGTAGCTGATTTTCCCGGCGCCTCCCGGCGCCGGGAGGCGCCCATGTATCGAGGAATGGGCCCGGCGGCGGGGCCGAAACCAGCTGCATGCAGCAGATTTCTTAACCGCCCCTTTCCCAACCCCCCCCTTTCGTCCGGCCCGAGACAGGGGCGCCGCGCGGCGGACCTCGGGCAGCTGATGCTGATACGGCCGGGCCTGGGACGGAAAGCCACCCCTCAAGAGCATGAGACACTCCGCCGGCCCAAACTGAAGCACATTCCAGGGCGCCCCCCCCCCTTGCCGTCGCGCGGACGTCCATTTCCCGTGCATTTTTCGGTTTCGTGCGATGGTTCTCGCCGAGAAAAACTGCACACGTCAGAGCGATGCCAAGCCTCCCCTCCCAGCATGCACGAAGGCATCCAGCACGCACGAAGAACATCAGGGTGCCCTCCCCTAAACCGACCTCGAAGCTCGACCGCAAGAGACCTTCCGCAAGAAGCCCAACCGTGGACCCCCAGGACGTCCACTGGTTCTTGGTCTGGGAACGTCACGCTTTCCGTAGCAAAACCATCGGAACCCAAGAAAACCTAGGGCACTTGGATGTTTCTTGGCAGGAGCAGGAGATCCCAGAATCGGATCGATAAGTCGGATCGGTAATGGAAATACATCGGATCGGAGGAAATCGGCAGCCGAGTCGGGAAAAATCGAATCAGCGGAAATCGGCAGGCCAGTTGGCCTCCATGGAAAAACCGGAGTCCAAATCGGAATCCAAAGTCGAATCGCCTCAGAATCGGCAGCCATCGAACCCGAATCGAATCGGAAGCATCGAAAAGAGCCCTGCATCGGTTTCCGCTTGAAGGCGGCCTGGATTAGGAGGTAACTACTGGGAGGTCCTCGTCGGAAGGATCAAAGATGAAGCCCCATTGGGGGGCTGCTAGGCCGGATTAGACCGCGGATTTAGCGGGATCAAGCACATTAAACAGGATTAAGCCGGACTCAGCGGGATTAGGCCGGATCAAGCAGGATTTCGGACCAGGGCAAAATCAGAACTTGACCTCCCAGGAGTTGCATCCGAACCTGGAGGTCTGAGCTGGTTGGGATCACAAGAGAATCTGCCAGGAGGGGGGATGCGGCAGCATCCGCTCGAAATCGATCCCTGGACCCCTCCTGGAATCCATCGGGTGAAGTTGTTTTGTACCCCAGACCAATGTTTGACGATCCTGGGGCCCGAACACGGCCCCCGGACGCCGAACGCGGCGTAAATGGTTCCCTAACCCCAAACCCGACGAAGGCATCTATACACCACCACCGTGCCAGGCCAGGGCCATCCTGGGCCCCAGGATGGTGTACAGACCCTCCTGGCTTCGGCCAGGAGGGCGTATACACCATGCCAGCGCCAGGATGGCCCTGGCCTGTCACGGTGGTGGTGTATAGATGCCTTCTGCGTACCAAAGCCTCGAACCTTGGTCCCCTTCGGAACCAAAGCTGGGCCACCTCGGACACCCAGCCGGCTCCAACCCATCCCACCCCGACGTTGCCCTGATCAGACCAAGAGAATCAAGCCAGGCGACGAAAGAACCCGTAATTATGCAAGCACCTGATGAGGTACCAGGTTGACGTCTCGTCCATTACGCGACTCTTCTGAGCCAAACTGACTAAATACTGGTAATGTGCATGCCATTGGCTGCACGTAAGAGTGACCCTGGACAAGAGTGACCTCTGGTGCACGGCTTTTGGGGGGCCTGCTGGGGGGCCCAAACTGGGCGCGCAAGCCTCTGCTATCGCTTCGCGATCAGCGATCGGGGGACCCCAGTGGGCCCGCACCACGAGCCGCTATGGCGAAGGGGTCACTCTCACGTGCAGTCGACTGACCACCCCTCCCCCGCGCGCCCCCTGCTGCGCTTCTGCCCGCCCTCTGAAGTGGAGGGCTGAAGGAAACCACTCTGCCCATTCGGGAGCGGCCAAGAGGGGGGTGTCCAAGAGGGGGGGGTGCAAATCATGACCGGCGGCATGTGCGCGGCCCAGCGGGGGGGCCAGGGACGTAATGAAACAAGAAGAGGCGCCATGAAATCTGGGGAAATATCATGGCCCCCGCCATGATGTCTACCCCCCCTAGTCATCACCCCCCTCTTTTCCGCCCCCGACCCATGAAGCAGGTAGGTGCCCAAAGCAACTTGGAAACTGGGAATGCAACAGCACCTTCGTGCTCTCGACGACCGGCGTGTACTGATCATGCGCACGCAAAGACACGGAAGCATTGCTCCCAGATGCCCAACGAACTGACCGCGACGTCGTGTTTTTTCACAGCGTCGACCCCGAGAGGTCCGGACACCTCCCCCGGGACGCGTTCTCCTCCCGGATTGTTTTTTGCTGACTGTCCCGGGGCCCAACGATAGACAGAACAACGGCAGAAACAATAGTTTTTGATCCGGATGCCTTGGCTCTGCGCTGGACTCCCCTCCCTGGCGCGCGGAGCGCGCCAGGGGCGGCGCCAGAGGCGCCGCCCCGGGAGGCCAGGCGCAGATCCAAGAAATCCGCGCGGGCCGTCGGACTTCTACGTTTGTGCCTCGTTCTGCTCTTCGAGGGAAGGGCCCTCGGAGGCCGAAGATAACGAAGAACCTTCCGTCGTGACTGCGCCACGCGAGGGGGTCTGGGAACTCTTGAGCAGGGAGATCGACCGTCCCGGCATGCCTGTAGACCTACCACCACATGCTTCTAGAACCAACAGCAGTTCGAAGAGCAAAAACAGCAGATTTAGAACGTGAGCGCGCCGTCGACGTGCTGAAACACGACCGTCTCAGCCAGAAAAGCTCTAGGAACACCTCGTGCAGACCACGAAAGGTTCCTGGAACATCCCCTGGTGGGCCTATGCAGGCGAGCCAGGGGGGGCACTTCGCCGCTGCCTGGAACTCCCACCCCCTCCCCCGCGGCGCGCCCCCCGTTGCGCCCGGCACTCCTCGTCCCGGCCGTCCGCGGCGTGGCCGTGCGCCGCGGGCGCCACCTCTCCAGCGAGGAGGAGGAGGAGGAGGAGGAGGAGGAGGAGGAGGAGGAGGAGGAAGAGGAGGAGGAGGAGGAGGAGGAGGAGGAAGAGGAGGAGGAGAAGGAGGAGGAGGAGGAGGAGGGGGGGGGGCTAGGCGGTGGAGGAGGAGGAGGAGGAGGAGGAGGAGGAGGAGGAGGAGGGGGAGGAGGGGGAGGAGGAGAAGGAGGGGCGGAGGGGCGGGCTGGGCTGTGACCCCAGACACCGCGGACGCTGTGGGGGAGGGGGGGGGAGGAGCCTCGGCCGCTCGTTTTCGAGGAAGCCCTCCTGGGGCCCCCCGTCCTCTGCATGCGAGCCTGGGCCAGGGGAACACCCCCCCGGGAAAATGAGACCCCCGGCCGAACACAAAACACGCCGAACATCCAAAGGGTTGGCCTCCCCAAGATGCACGAGAACATCCAGCAAGCAGGAAGAACATCAAGGCACCCTCCCCGAACCGACCTCGATGTTACGCCTCGGTCCGGCTGTACCTATTGCCTTCGCTCGGGCGTCCATTTCCCGTGCATGTTTCGGAATCGTGCGTGTATTCTTTCTCGCACGGTGACCTGACATGCTCCTCGATGGCCCTCGCCTCGAGAAAAAGCACACGTCCGAGCGATGTCAAGACCCCCTCCTCGTCATCGCCCTCGTCCCCCCAAGGGCGAGGACGAAGAGAAGGAGGACGAGGAGGAGAACGAGGAGGACGAGGACGAGGAGGACGAGGAGGACGAGGAGGACGAGGACGGAAAGGGGGAACAACTGCAGGATCATAAATTTTCGGAGCTCCGCTCGGCCCCCCTGGCGGCGCCTACGGCGCCGCCCCTGAGGATCCGCGCGACGCTGCGAAAATGTATGCCCACGCAACTGCTCTTCTGCGGCACGTTGAACGTCCGTCGCATTGCACCAAACTTGATTCCACATGGAATTGGACTAAGTCGAAAAGATCCGTCAGGTGGGCTCCAGAAGGACAGAGCGAACATCTAAGAAACTGGAGGCTGGACTCTGCAGAAACAGGGAACGGCGGCAACGCCACCACCAGCGCGAGGAACCAGTGGGGATAGGAGGCATCTTCTGGAAGGTTCTCGTAGGAACGATTACAGTCTACCCGTCTCATAAGGATGCGCGATGAGGATGCAAGGGCCTCGGACGGCCATTTCGAAGCTGTTCAAGTGGGGCACGGCCAACGAAAGTGGCCAAGGATGGACCGAGGAGGCAAGGATGCAAGGGTACCCTTGGGAAGGTTGCCCATCCTTGCCATGCGGGATGACTGTAAGCTACTAGGCCGATTAAGAAGCCATGAAACCGAATTCGCCAAAACCAAACCAACGGCGTAGCTGGACTAAAACGGGATTAGGAGGAGCTCATCTGCATGATTCCTGATTCGGCTTAGGTCGCGAGGCACAGGACACGAGGGTGCCCGTGATTTGGCAGTGAAGGCCTACGAATCAAAGCCGAGTGTATCGCCTTTCTTTCCTCCGACTCTGCTCGAACCAGCAGAGCCTGCGAGCACTAAGCCCAAACGCAGGAAACGTGTTCGTCGGCGGCGAGGCGGAGGCACTCCGCCCCTGCGTGTGGCTATGCAATGTCGAAGAATGGCACGGCATGAGCACGAACGCTCGAAGATCAGCGTGGACTCCTTGGGTCGGCGCTGGATCCCCCTGCTTGGCGCGCGGAGCGCGCCAGCGGCGGCGCCGGGGGCGCCGCAAGGGGGCCCATGGCGACCCCAGGAAGGGCGGCATGGGCCTTCGGAGGGGTATATGTCTGTCGCTTCTTGCACCTCGAGCCACACAAGCCATGCGAGCACCAAGCGTTAGTGATTGAGGATGACGATCTCAGGAAACCAAGCAGGTTCGGAGGGGACGCTCAACTACTCTGAAGGACGACGACGACACGCAGGCCAGAGCCCAGTTACTAACAATAGCCCAGGGCGCTGCTGCGTGACGGCCCCCCACGGCGCTCTGCACCGTCATCCTGCATCATGCCGGACACTGACAGCACCAGGACTGCGTCCGAGCGCGACAAACACACCGCATGCCTGCGAACACAAGCAGCGTGCCTGTGAGCACAGCCATGGCCTGCGCGCGCTACAACATGCCCGAGAGAACCACGTCCCCCGAGTCCCCGGGAGGTCTAAAAGGTAGCAACGTCGTCTTTACCATCAAAACTTCTATCGTCCTCCTTCTCATCGCCTCCTCTGTCGGGCAGGCGGCCGAGGCCGTCAAGGCCTCGCAAAAGCATCGTTCAACCAAAGCCGAGGGTCCCGATGCGCCTGGATGTCCAGCACCGCCACGCCCTGCCGCGGGTGGTCGAGGGTGCCTCAATTGCGGCCAGGGTTGGGCTGGGGACTTGGCGAAGTGCGGATTACTCCTCCTAACCAGTCATGCCTCTCCCTCTCCTCCACCTCCTACTTTTCACCTTTCCCGATCATGTCGATCAACAGCCTGTTTTCCTTCCCTCCCACTCATCTTTCTCCTCCTCCTCCTCCTTCTCCTCCTCCTCTTCCTCATCCTCCTCCTCCTCCTCCGCCTCATCATCATCATCATCACCACCATCATCATCACCACCAGCACCAACACCAGCATAAGCATAATCATCGTCACCACCTTCTTCTTCAGCAACATCACCATCAACATACACCACAACCACCACAACCACCACCACCACCATCATAATCACCATCATCATCATGCATCAGACTCATAATCATCAGCATCATCATCCTCAGCAACACCATCACCATGACCATCATCGTCACCGTTGTCGTTAGTATCACCGCTATCCTTACCATCATCATCGTCAGCATCATCGTCACCACCACCATGAGCATCATGATCCTCATCCTCCTGTTCCTGCGTCTCCTCCTCCTCATCATGATGATTAGCGGCATTCGTCGCATCCGCATACGTCGCATCCGTCGCAATCATCAGATTCCTCATCATCATACGTCTCATCCGTCGCATCCGTCGCAATGATCATGATCGTCATCATCAAACTCCTCACCATGATCATTAGCGGCATTCGTCGCATCCGCATACGCATCCGCATCCACATCCGCATGGGCATGAGCATGAGCATGAGCGTCAGCAGCATTACCATCATCATCACCAGCAGCATCATCACCACCATGATCATCACCATCATCACAGTCATCATCATAATCAGCATCATCAGCATCATCATCATCATCAGCAGCATCAGCATCATCATCATCAGCATCATCATCATCTTAGCCATCATCATCGTCATCATCATCCTCATCATCATCAGCAGCATCATCATCGTCCTCATCAGCATCGGCAGCATCATCATCAGCATCATCATGAACAGCAGCATCAACATCAACATCAGCATCAGCAGCAACAGCATCATCATCACCACCACCAACATCATCATCATATTCATCACCATCATCGTCATCATGATCATCATAATCATCATAATCATCATCATCATCATCATCATCATCATCATCATCATCATCATCATCACCATCATCATCATCATTCTCCTCCACACCGGTCTTGCTGCTGGAAGGAAGCAGCGGCCACCGCGTGATCGCCCTGGTGCAGTGCAGTCCTTGGCGCGAGTGTGGAGTCGCACGCGCAAAGACCTTTCCGCAGAGTGGCTGGCCGACCATTCTTGCCCGCTCAAGTTCAAAACGGCGGGCGGGCCTCGAGAAGACAAGCTCGGGCACAGCCTTTTCAGCAGAGCTTGCATGCTGAGACGGAGCCTTTCCTGGGGGGGCCTCTCGCTGCCCACCCTCTACGGCGCCCGAGCTTCGGGCTGTGGTGAAGCTGGCCACGACCACCCCTCTCCGAGCTGTTGAGCAGACGTGGCCGGGATTGAGCGCTGGCGAGGATGGAGCACCACCCGGACCACGGTCCGCGGGAGGTCCGACGGGGGGCCTCGCTGCCTGCGGGCCCGCCACTGCAGGCACGGGCAGGGTCCGCCCCTCGGCGGCTGGGGGTGTGCGCGCACTCCGGGCCATAAGCGCGCTGGCCCCTCGGGCGCTGCTTCGGGGGGAGGGGGGGGGGGGGGGGCGATAGAGAAAGAGGGGGCGGGAGGAAGACACGTGACCCTCGCGTGCCCCCTTCTGGGCCCCAAGGGGGACCCTCCAGGGGCCCCCTCGCGTCACAGGAGGTGCATGTTTCCCAAGGGATCCCAACTGCGCGCTCCGCGCGGCGCGAAGCGCGAAGTGCAAAAAAACTTCGCGCTCTCGCGCCGCCCCCCAGAGGAGAATAAGAGGATGAGGAGGAATCGGAGCCGAACCGCGAAGCGCGAAAAATTTCGCGCCCTCGAGGGCGCCCTCAGTCAGCGTCGGCAACAGCGCCGGGGGGGGGGGGGGCGCCTGCTCTCCCGCCTGCCCTGCCTGCTCTCCCCGCTGCCCTCACCTCCGGGCACGCCGCGGGGACGGGGGCGAGCCTCCTCTCTCCGAGGCTGCCCTGGCCACGCGCGAGCTCTGGACAGGCTCGGGCTCTTCGGGTTCGGGAAGGGGGCCGGGGCACAATCTTGCGGTCGCGACGAGACTCGGTGTCGATCCCATCATGCCCGCACCAGAGCCGTCCTCTCTTCGATCCGCTGCTGGGGAGGCTGGACGTCGGGTCGGGCGGGTCTGGGGGGACGTGGTGTGCGCGGACGGCTCGGGGTTCGGGAGCCGAGCGCACAAGCTGCCAGAGCGGTGCGTTGCTGCTTGGTGCAAGCCCAGGCTCGCTTCCTTGGTGTTGCCGTTGCCAGGATCGCCGAGCTAGGTCTCTGGAGTCAGGAGAGCGAGAAGTGCCTGAGTCATGGTCCAGGGGTGGACCTTCTCGACTCATCGCAGCATGCGGTCGTGCGTTTTCCAGGCACTGGCGGCATGCGGTCAAAAGAACGCACTAGGTCTGCCTTGACAAAGCTCACGCTTCGGCCCATACGTCGTACATCTCGCGGCGCGTGCACTCCTGCACGGAGAGGCTGGAAGCACCAGGGACTGGAAGCACTCCGGACATCATGGTGAGAGTAGGGAGAATCGCGCTCGCACAAACTACAATGACTTTTTGGTAGCCCCAAAACCGTGCACTATCCTTTTTCTCGTTCGGCGCGGCCCGGCGCAAGACATTCTTCCAGAAGCCCTAAGCATGCAAAACACCATCGGGCCCAGCCGACATGTACGTTCCCAGCCTCCTCGCACCCAGAGGATGCTCGGATGAGTAGGAGGCTTTCCACGAGGGGGCTGATCCAGCGTGGCCCACCTGGACCCTCAGGTGGCCCAGGTGAGCCACGCTCCCTTCTGCGAGTGCTGCGCCTTCTCTCTCCACGAAGCTCCGCGCTGGGAAACACGCCCGGGCTGCGCGAGCGTGCAGGGTTTCGCCAGGGCGCCGGCGCGCCGCGCAGAGCGCAGCAGGCCGCGCTGGCCCGGGCGCCTGGTGGAAGCACTCCAAGACGGGCGCATACAATCAAAATCGATAGTAAGGACGCACGGTAGGGATGCAAGGGCATTGCTTGGAAGGCCATGTTGGCACTTTTCAAGGGGAGCACGGCGGAATACGTAAGGACGCACGCTAAGGATGCAAGGGCACCCTTGGAAAATTGCTCCTTGCTATGGATTTTGACTGTATGTATCTGCTCGCATCCCTCGACTCCTCTTTTCCTCGCCCTCGGCTCCTCCCCCTCCTCGGCATGCCTCCTCCGGCGCGGAGGCTGCGGGGTGAGCCTCCTCCGCAGTCCATGCCCGGGCGCGCGGAACACACTTTCCGCCCCGCGCAGTGCAGCGGCCCCACGGGCAGCCCGTTCGGGGCAGGCTTTTGCCGGCCGTCGCGCGGCCGCCCCCGATGTGTGTTCGGAGATCCTCGGTCAGCGTCGCTGTCGCTTCATCGAGAGTCTTCGGCCTTTGGTCGACACCTCGGCACGGGTTCTCCCCTCTCCTTCTCCTCCTTCTCCTTTTCTCCTCCTCCTCCTCCTCCTCCTCCAGCCCGCTGTCACCCCTCGCGTGCCCTCCTCCCCCTCTCCTCCCCTTGCTCAACTTGCTCTCCTCCCTCTCCTCTCCCCCCCCCTTTTCCACGCTCCCCCCCTCTCCTGCTCAAGCCACTTGGGCCCGAACCATTTTGGCAGGGCACATTCTCCTGTACCTGCCCGAGGTGCTTGAGGCACTACGTTTTCGTCTCTCATCCGAGGGACCGAGCGTCGACCAAACCAGGAGTATTCATGTTTTCGATGTCTCGTCTTTAGTCTCGTTGCGCATGCCAGCGCTGCGAATACTTTGACGCCTTAGAATCAGGGGATCGATCGAACCTGTCCAGGGTGCAATCGGAAGGTCAAGTTCCACAAGCCTCGCCCTGGGCGCGCCGCCGCGATCGCGCACCAGGCGCAGTCGTCAGGCGCTGGCACGACCACATCTGGTGGCGGCAAGGGCAAGGACGGCAACCCCAGGAAGGAGCAGCAGGCCTCCACGCACAGCGTCCCCGAGCTGCTCCGCATGGCGCTCGATGGGACCGAGGACCCCACCCTGAAGTAGGTGCTCGAAGCTCAGGTTAAGCTCACGTTTGAGGCTGCCGCACTGGGAGGTCCCGCAGAGGTTCTCAAGCGTGCCATGAGCGCCTTCAGGGCTGCGGACCACAAGCACACTCAGGTGGCCGCGAGCATGGTCCGCATAGAGGCCAACCTGGAGCAGGCGCGCGCCAAGGAGAAGGCAGCAGCCTTGACCCTGGCCCACATCCGAGAGGGCCAAGAAGTCGGCTGCGGAGGCGCTCGAACTTGTGGAGGGCATCTCCATGCAGGGCGCCGACTCCAGCTCCAGGCCCAAGTTCCCAGTCAGCCGGGAGCGCGAGCTCTTCGATGGCATCGAGGACCTCGAATGTGAAGAAGCAGAGCGAGCCACCCCTCGGAAGATCAAGTCCGATCTGGAGGGGCTCGCCACGCTGACGACTACCAAAGAGGCGGAGGTCACGGCGAGGCTGGCCAAGGCGCAAGGAGGTTCAGTCGTTCGCGGACCGCTTCAACAAGAAGAGGAAGGTGCAGCAGGCAGCGGCGGACGCCGAGCGGCCCAAGGGGGCCCCTCCCAGAGGTAGCGCAGACATGGGCAAAGGCGGCTCGCCCAGCCCTGCCGCTGAGGCTTCGCCCCCGCCAGGGGCTCCCACGGCCGCGACACCTGCTGAGGCGCAGATGGCGGGAGAAGAACATGATCAGGAGCTCACCGACGCGGCTGAGCGCCTGTCCCAGTCCAAGAGGGAGGCGCAGCTCAAGGCCCTGGCTGAGCAGAATGCCAACGCAAAGGGCAGCTCGCTGGGCATGGGCAAGGGCAACACCGCCACCACGGGCAAGGGTGACGCCACGCAGGCGGC